CCTTCAAACATGAGCACACTGATAACATGCAGCCCTGACCTGAGGTGACTCTACGACAGGTTACTGCAGGTGAAACAATCACAATTTATATATAACACAGAGATGCAATGACTTTTCATTCAGACAGATCAGGGGTTATTATCACAAACATTTAATGAGAGGCTGACAAAGTTCAGATCATAAACTTTACGACTCATTCAGACCAGGCTCATTTAAAAAAAAAGAAAGGTTTTGACCTCTGCCTCCGACACACTCATCTTAAATGTCAACTCATCCTGACGCGCTCAATATAAATAATATATTTCATGACATAATGGTCACACAGAGCATGTGCAGGAGGTCAATCCTCATGAGCGACTGCATGAAAACATGTTATTGTGTCATACAGGTTCACTTGTCATGCTCAATAAAGTACTTCATATCAACACAGTGACACGTTTAATCTAACCTTTGAATGTGCTGCTGCAGCGTGTGTGTGTGTGTGTGTTTGTGTGTGTGTGTGTGTGTGTGTATTTGTATGAAAAACAGGTGGTCACGCAGCTGTAAATCCCCCCAACACACACACACACACACACACACACACACACACACACACACACACACACACACACACACACACACACACACACACAAACACACAGCTCTATAAACACTGAGGGAGCAAACGTGATGTAGAGAAATGAACGGGAGAGGCCCCCTGAGCCTCACAGGCGGACAGGTTCCTACAGGTCAGAGACAGAACCTGAACCACCCCCCCTCCCCGACATCAAACAACATTAACCTTGATGTTCCCCTCATGTGTAAATGATACAACCTCTCATTTTAAACTGATTCACCCCTGGTTTAAGCTGCTCTTACTCGTCCATTAATAGCCACATTAAACCGTTGGAGGAATGTGAAAGTACCTTTGACTCTTTCTGTTTGCACACATGCACTCCTGAACATTTATGGAAAATTATGACACAGCCTTTCCCTGGAATTGTCCTGTTCACATACACGGGACGAGATGATCTCAGAAGAATCCTGATTGTTCGCTAGCTGCTTTTCCTGAACATTTCCCACTGTGCAGCAACATCAGCTCAACATCAACTCGCCCCTGTTACGCCTCGCGCGCAATGTGTAAAGCACAGAGGCATAATGGTGGCTCTGTCCTCACCAAGCGGCACCTTCCAGTGTTCATAAATGAAGCCAATGTGGAAAAAAGAGCAAAATCCTGCAGTTCGTCGAATGTCCGCTTGAGGCTGGCTGCAGAAGCAGGTACGTGGGTTGGTTACAGTGCAGGGGCATGAAAAGGTGGGGGACTTCATTGATCCTGGAACCACAAGGGCACAACTCTCTTTGTCCAGAGTTTCCCAGGGTGAGAGGTGAGAGGTTAGCGTTTGGATACTCACAAGCTCACCTGCGTCAAAAAAAAGTAAAAAAAAAAAGAATTCAGCAACATAATAAAATTACAAAAAGTGACAATATTTTTTTTTTAAACAGGATGGGCATGGATTCATTAGCAGGCACTTACATCACATGCAGCTTGTATGAAGTAAACAATGTCAGCGGATAAACAACAAGCTGTCACGCCACCTTTCGCAGCATGATGTCATTCATTTGTTTAATTCCTGTAATTAATTGGCACATCCAAACACACATCTTGGCTCATTGTTGATACCTTTCTTTGTAGCTTTTACATCATTTTCATCCATGATGAGAATTCCTTTAACATCTCATTTCATTGTCTCATAAGCTGGTTCCATGTTAATGCAACAATACGTACAATATGCGTAATAAATTAAGTCAAATGAAGTTAGGGAGCAGGACTACACCCAAACCACAATCACCTGACAAGCCTAATTAAACTGAACCATCCCACTCCACCCTGTTTGTCTCATTTATTTGACCCACCCTCCCTTCCCTTCCTCTGATCCATTCACCCTCCTTCCTAATCCATTCATCTCGTTTGTCTAACTTTAGGCACAGTCCGGGCCGTCATCAGCTCGGGCAGAGTTACACTTGAGAGGGAACCCCCCATCCTGAATCAGTCCATCCTCCCAGACCAGCCAGCTGACAGCATCATCTTCCATCATAATCATTATCTCAACATATATTCATCTGTCTCATCATTCATATGATCTATCATTAACTATCTAAAACACATATGGGTGCAGGGTAGTCCTTGCTAGGGAAGTATAGCTTATGTAATAAATATATCTACTTTCTTCCGGTCATTGTCTCCGTGCACTGAGGATGGCAGGTAAAGAGCTCCTGGGAAGGTGAAGGACAAATATTTTTGTGTCTGTAAATGTGGCTTTCGTTGTCTGAAGTTGTTTATCTTTTTCTGTACCTTTGATGCATGTGCTTACTCAGTTCTGATTTTTTCATATATTGGAAAATCTATTTTAAAATCAATGAAAATAATATGTTCTGTTTAGATACAAACCAGCAGTAGTTGATGTCAGCCTCATCTTTCTTTCTTGTCTTTAAGTCTGTCTGACCGCACAGAATAACTGCTTAAAGCAGAATGATAATGCTAGATGGACTTGAGCTTGAGCTCACTTTTCTAGTCTGATAGCAGAGGTTGCTAAAGTAACCATCAGAACTAATCACATTCATACACATTTATACAGCGCTGAGGAAGTAGCGGGAGCAACTTGAGATTAAGTGTCTTACCCAAGGACACATCGGACATGTTGCTGCAGGAGCTGGGGATTGAACCCCTGACCTTCAAGTTGAGAGACGACCGACTCACTGAGCACAGCCACCCCAGAACCCAAATACAGTCCATAAAATGATATTTAAAAGTGAGTAAAGTGCTGCAGAGCAGGTGATATATGAGGCGAGTTTCAGATTTTAAGAGAGTTAAAAGGAGAATTAAATGAAAGTGTTTTACCTCTGTTGTCATCCAAATTCAAATGTTTTGTTTTGTGTTTTTGTTTCCTGAGTTTCTTGTTTCTTGACCTAAACACCTGTCTGTTACCTGTTCACCGGTTTACCTGTAAAAACCTGCCTATAAGCTCTGCAACCGGCGACACTTTGTTTTCAACTGATGTTATTTTTATTTACTGTGGATTGAATTGTTGATGTTTTCATTTATGGCAGAAGGTAAAGCCGTTATAAATCCATACATCAAAGGGATGAATGAAAAACACAATTTAAAAAAAATCAGCCATATCCGAGTCCCCGCCCCCTTTCACTCACACAGCCTCTACATGGACACCATTCAAACAGTTCATACAGTCTTATGTATACAACAATAATATAAAGTAGCACAGGTGGAGCAGAGAGCTGTCCAACCAGCCGTTCGTTCAGGCAGAAACACCCCTCTCACTGGACCAGTGGGAGGTACAGGAGAGGGTGTTATATGTTCTGCAGTGGCTCAAGGATGCCACCTGCTGTCAGCATGACATTGTACAGGACAGTCTCTCCCAGAGCAGCAGGTTCCTCCAGCAGGGTCTGACACATGTTTAGCTTGACAGTTAGGTCTATCTCTGCAGGGTGCTGCTGACTGAACCTGACCCATCAAATAACTTGATGTATTTTAAGTTAATGGTGGCAGGATGATGGTTCATTACTGGGTTAACAACATCCATCCATACATTTTCTTACAGTTATTCGAGGTCGGGTCGCGGTGGTAGCAGGCGCAGTAACTCAACCCAGACTTCCCTCTCCCCAGCAACACTTTCCAGCTCCTCCTGGGGGATTCTGAGGCGTTCACAGGCTAGACGGGATAGATAACCCCTCCATTGTATTCTGGGTCTCCTCCCAGTTGGGCGTGCCTGGTAAACCTCTAAAGGAAGGCGTCCAGGAGGCATCCTTAACAGGTGCTCAAACCACCTCAACTGGCCCCTTTCCATGCGGAGGAGCAGCGGCTCTACTCCGAGCTCCCCCTGAATGTCCTAGCTCCTCACCCTATCTGTAAGGCCGAGCCCAGCCACCCTCCAGAGGAAGCTCATTTCGGCCACTTGTATCTGCGATCTTATTCTTTCGGTCACTACCCATAGCTCATGACCATAGGTGAGGGTTGGAACGTAGATCGACCGGTAAATTGAGAGCTTTGCTTTCAGGCTCAGCTCCCTCTTCACCACAACGGTCCAGCACAACGTCTGCATTACTGCTGATGCCGAGCCAATCTGTCTGTCAATATCACGTTCCATCCTACCCTCACTCATGAACGAGACCCAGAGATACTTGAACTCCTTCACCTGGGGCAAAGACTCACTCCCCACCCAATCCACTGTTTTCCAGCAGAGAATAATGGCCTCGGACTTGGAGGTGCTAACCCTCATCCCAGCCACTTCACACTTGGCTGCAAACCGCCCCAATGCCTGCTGGGGGTCCCAGCATGAGGAGGCCAACAAAACCACGTCATCTGCAAAAAGCAGAGACGAGATTTTGAGGTCCCCCCCGGCTGCTCCTTGAGATCCTGTCCATGAAAATCACAAACAGGACCGGTGACAAGGGGCAACCCTGCAGGTTAACAACATGTAGAGTAAACTTGTGGATTCTGGAGCCGTGGACCCCGGAGACTCGTCTTTAGTAACAAATAGGCTGTAGCTGCATGGAACAGAAAAGTGTAAATGTTGTTGACATGGTCATCAGGTCCAGGTTGTTCAAAAGTACTTCAACAGGATTATTCTGAATCCTGATATTTCAAAAAGGATTTTGAAAAAAAAAGAAAAGTATCACAAAAAAGGTAATAAAGTAAAAAAAAAAAAAAAAAAAAGGTGTCAGTAATTGACCCCTAAAGACCCTCCTTCCATCAGATCTACCCACTCTGTTGACTCTTTTAAATCAAACCTCAAAACTTATTTTTAGATCTTTCTTTATTGTTATTTCTGTATTCTTATAATTGTTGTTACAACCTGTTTATATACTGAATTGTACAGCACTTTGGTCAGCAGCTGCTGTTTTTAAATGTGCTTTATAAATAAATGTGGATTTACCGGACACGCTTTAACACACTAGGTGGCGGGTATTGTACATTCACACGCATGAACAGCGATCATTGGGGAAACGAAGAAGAATAAAAAGCGGAAGTACCTCCAGCTTTCTAGAAATCGGTGACCCAGGCCGGCTCGCTGATAGTTGGAACATGTTATCTGTAAATGTCCTCCGCAGATTACGACCTTGTGGACTGTATCAGTCGGTAAACTTTGACGTCACCGTCAGGCCCGCGAGGCTCGGAGCTCGCTCGTTCAGCGCGTGCTGTGTTCGGGGGGTGAAGCAGCTGCACGCGGGTAGAAGGTCGAGCCTCCTCAACAACCAGGTGAGTGACTCTCAATTAACTCTTTAATGCACACAGACGCACAGATGACGTTTTACCACATGCATTTTACACCATTAACGATAACATGGTATCAGATAGCATTAGCCTCCAAGAAGAGATACTCTGAAATCGATTGTAAATGTCTGCAGGTCTGTGTCACTTGTTGTTGTTAAAGGTCACATACTATTCTCCTCTTCAACCAGTTTGAATAAGTCTCAGAGCTCCCTAAAACATGTGTGTGAAGGTTCTTGTTCTAAATCCACTCTGATCCTGTATTTGATCATGTCTATAAACCCCTCTATTTCAGCCCTGCTCAGAACAGGCTGTTTCTGTGTCTGTACCTTTAAATATGTAAATGAGCTGTGTCTGACCACGCCCCCTCTCTGGAAGGTTTTGGGTGGCTACGGAGGGGCTACTGCCCTTTGTGATGTCATGGCGGGAACATCTCCAATCGGCCTGTTTGAGCACACATTTTCTGAAATGATGGAGAGGATGGACTTCACAAAGAACTAATAATAATACAAAAAGAGGACATCTACACACTTTCAGACTCCAGGTCAGAGTTTTAACGTGTGTCTTTGCTGTGTCTCTGCGTAGGCTCCTCCTTCCCTATGTCCCTCCATCAGATGTGTCTCCACGGCAACGCCCTCCACGGACGGGGAGCTCATTTACACCGGCAGTCTGGGTCGTGCTGTTAGAGGTGAGTCTCTTTCAGCTCTATCACTTAATCGTCTCATCACATTAAAAGTTTTAAGATGTTTTAGATTGGTGAGTAAAGGAGTCTGCTTGACAGTCAGAGACGTTCAGTAAGCCTCACACTGCAACATAAAACCTCCTCTGTGTTCAGGGTTGTTACTCGATTCTGATCAGCCATTGACGCATAGCAACAATCTAATTATTGCTCGACAGATGACCGTTGTTAAGAAGAATTATCAACGTAGTGTTCCAGTGATAACCTTTGCTCTGTGTGCGCTCTCTCAGGGGTGAAGATGTTCTCGTACAGCAGCAGTGGGGCCAGCCTCTTCATCATGCCTCAGATCCTCCTGAAGACCGGGTTCGGGGTCCAGAGCTTGGCCCTGCAGGCAGCGTTCTGCGGCTTCATTGGGATGTTCATCTTCGTAACCCCCGTCGTCCTCCACTTTTTCACCCGGGGCTACGTGGTCCGCCTCTACCACCACCCGGACACGGACACCTACACCGCCGTCACTTACAGCGTCTTCCTGACCGAGAAGAGGAACGTGTTCCACCAGACGCAGGTGCGGATCCCCGCCGTCAGCAAGATGTTCACCACCTTCTACGCGGGAGGCACGGGTCTGCTGGTGAACCCCGACCTGTTCGCCATGCCTCAGGACTACAACCACCTGATGGGCTACGACAAACCCTTCAGCTTCCAGCCAGAGGACATGGACAGCTGAGAGACGTGTGTGTGATCTACAGGACTGTGTGTTTGCTGAAGGGAGACATCAGGGCAGGACTGACATGGGTGCTGTTGTCTTCTTAAAGCTGGGCTCTGTTTTTAAAACATGTTGGGGTCTAAATGACTGAAGGGTACCAAAACTCTCCAGTAGATTAGTTCATCCTGCAGCAGTGAAACAGGCTTTGATGTCCAAAGTGTGTCCACCAGAAGATGTTGTTTTTCTTTACCAAAAAATGCAAGCAACCTCCTGCACACTGTCTAAGTTGAACAAATACATTGGCGACATTCGACCAAAACGTTGCCAATGTATTTTTTTTTGTTGCAATTCCGACAGTGTTAGCTCCTCTGATCTCTTGCTTACACCTCTGTTATTACCTCTGATGGTGGACTAGAGGTGAAACGGCTTCGTCCCACCGTTCATCTTCCAGGAGTGTCAGGGGGCGTAAATATGCATCTTTATGCTGGTAGTGTGTAATGTTCAACAAAGAGAGACGTCCTCTGTTATGCGACGATTGCAGTGAGACCTCCCATGTTGAGTATGATCGGTTGTATTCATTGTTTTTGTGCTGGTCATCCTTTTAAACGTTATTCTGAACTCTTATGTTTCGCTACATCACTAAGAACTAGCCGCTCTGCACCGGGTTAAGCTCAGAATCTTTCCTGCTTTTTCATCCTCTGCCAATCACATCCCTGTGTAAAGTAGTCACCATGTAAAGAAATCTGCAAGAGGAACTCTGAAACGTCACCTACCTTTAAGTCATTTAGATTATATATTTAAAAAAAGTATAAACAGTGCCCAGATTACAAAAAAATCCTGCTTTGTGTTTTTTTTCTGTCGATATGAAGAAACAGAATTCTACTATTAAATGATATCTTCAGTATCATGATGTTACCTGTGTCTCCTTACGTTTCTCCTGTAGTTTATCTGAGCAGCTCATACACCCAGCCCGTCTAACTTTCAGGATATACACCACACTTAGAAATATAAGCTTTATAACCTGAAGTAGGGACTATTTCCATGTACATGTATGACTTGAATAATCTTTATTACAGATATGTTAAAGTGTAATTTGTGTTCCAAGTTCTGTGCTAAGCTGAAGACTTCCTGACTGTCTCATGAACTAGAACCTGACATGTCAACTATGAATTAAAACACAGACTGAAGTGTTTTACTCATAGATACCCACCATCTCACACTCAGCACATTCAGCTGTGTCACGTTATCAGACATGAAGGTGAAGAACTTCTCTCTCTGTCTGATCAGCTATGGAAGCTATTAAACAACATAATTTAATCATGTGATGCACACAAAATAAATTGTGCACTGTGCGAAACATTATATTGTGTACCCACAAGATAATGACTTATTTTCACAAGATTATTTTATTATACCCTCAGGAGAATTACTTATTATCTTGTGCAAACGAGATAATGTGCACACAAGATAACTTGTTTGCCCATGATAAAAACTTCTGTGCATAAAATAATGTTTTGTTTTTTTAACTTATTTATTATTATTGTTATTTTAAACGTCTGTAGGTAAATTAGATAGCCTGACTGATCTGTAAAGATCGGTGATCTAGGGAGGATTATCCTAATTTTTTTTATCTTGTGTTTTCTTAATTGAAGATTTTGAACGTATTAAAAATGCTTGTAAAAAAAAAAGTTTCGGTCCTGCGGTAAACACTCCAGACCAGAAGGTGGCGATATTGGACCTGCACTGTTCAGCAGCTGAGAAAGAAGAAGAAGAAGTAGTAGTAGTGTTCCTGAGGGGGCGGAGTTAAAAGAAGGAAGTGGAACCACAACAACATCACTCCAGAAGAAAAAAAAAAACATCACTCCGTTATAAATATCATAACTATCTGTACTTGTCGAAATGCATCTTATCGTGCAAACGTTAATTATTTAATCCAAAGGTAAGAATCTTTTTTCGGGTGGGTTTCTAAGGTAGCTTGTTTGGCTGAAGGTTAGCTAACGTTAGTGTTAGCCTCCCTCTTCATGTTTAGCTAAGCTAATGTTATAAACATTAACAGAACTGGAGAAGGGTCGCACCTTGTGTTTTATACGTATTTTCACCTGGATCTGTAAGGTAGAACATGTCAAACTCACAAACACCGGCTAACCATTAGCTCGCTACCTCTCATTGACGGTGTTTCGGTGTAAAGAGTGACCGTGCTAACTGGTGACTCTGTGGTTGTCATGAGGAATGAAAAGGCCCTAACGACTTTGTTTAGTATGTTTTTATTAAAATGTAAAAATGTACTTATTAGCAATGCTTTTCATGAAATAAATACAAAAAGGGAAATCCGTATGGACACTGTCTTCAGAGAGAGAGAGAGAGAGAGAGAGAGAGAGAGAGACACCTGTCCTTTACTTACCTGTCATAACACACTCAGTCACATGATGTAAGTGACTGTCTCTGCTGCTACGGTGGCTGATAAGTGCAAAGCAAAATTACAAATGTGAGACAAATTTACATTTTGAAAAACCTTTTTACATTTTTAGAAAACAAAATTACAAAACCAAAACACTTATACCAAGAAAAAAACACATTTACGTCTTATAAAACAAATTTACAAGATGTGAAACACTTTTACAATCCCCAAACAAATTTACAAACGACAGAATCTTGACAAAATGGGAATGTACCAAATGTCGGAAGTGATCGCGTGAGGGGTCATTTTGTTTTGTTTTGTCGCGGTACATTCCCTTTCCGTCAAGATTCTGTCGTTTGTAAATTTGTTTGGGGACTGATAAAAGTGTTCTGCCTCTTGTAAATTTGTCTCAGCGATTGTAAAAGTTTTTCACTTCTTGTAAATTTTGTTTTGTCCTTGGTAAGTGTTTTTGGTTTTGTCATTTTGTTTCATAAAATGTAAAAATGTATAAAAAATGTAAATTTGTCTCACATTTTGTAAAAGTGTTCAACACTTTGTAATTTTGCTTTGCACTTCCCAGCCACCGTAGCTGACAGTGTAAGTGCAGAGAGTTTGCTTTAGCCTACTCCTAGTTTACATTGTGATAAGGAAACAATGGAGTTTAACTTAATGATATTTTGTCAATACCTCAATGAACATCTGAGAGCTTTTGTTTATTTTTCAAGAAATGTGTTAAGCAGACAGATGTATACTTTCCCCCCAGTTAAGTGAACAATATATCAAAACATTCAACCTTTCTTAATTAATACATTGTAACTTACACTGAGAGTTGTAACTTTTTTGTGACACCCAGCAGTATTTTCTTTATTAATTTTAGTGTTTTTTTTCTCTTTTAGGTCTCAAGTGTTCACTTGAAGTCTTTACAAACGACTAGTAATAAATCGACAGCACACCATAGCAACACTATGGAGGAGACGAGTCGGGAGGCGGTTGCCACGGCGGTGCAGCGTGTTGCTGGGATGCTGCAGCGATCAGACCAGCTGGATAAAGTGGAGCAGTACAGAAGAAGAGAGGCCCGCAAAAAGGCCTCTGTAGAAGCCAGGCTGAAGGTGTGTTAGCAGACGTCAACATGTTGTTCAGTTTATCCCCTCATCTATTCACAGGGCACGGCTCGGGGTCTCATCATGTTCATTTAATGGTTGCATAGAAACACTTGGAGATCAAGTTCATTATGCCAGAATAAAAGAGAACCAGAATAATGTCAGTGTGAAGGGGAGAGAGGTCCAAAGCAGAACCTTTAACGAAAACATAATAAAAATAATGCCTATTATAGTTCAGGACCGAACTAGAATAGGACTGAGCAGGACGACATAAAGAAAGATGATCAAGTGAAAACAAGAACTGACATGAAGTCAAGTTCTTGTTTGTGTTGTAGTGCTATTCAGGATAGACTGGGGGTCTGTTTGCTGTTCATGCAGTTTTAAAAATCTTTTTGAAGCATGTTTTTTCACGCAGCATGTTTCTCTGTCTTTGCATTTCTTATGGTCATTTACATGCCTCTCTGAATTTGCATCGGTTTTGAATATGCAGCCTGTTTGTCTGATGGAAATCATGTGGGCTGTTGCATTGTGACTTCCCCATGTGGGCCGCCGTCCCCAACTAGCAATTGCATTTGTATGGTCAATGAAAGATTAGCATATGGATCCTGTTTTTCAGTTCAGTTTAGTGTTTAAGTTGAAGTCTATGAATTAAATAAAAGGATGATTTTCAGGCCGTATGTGAGAAAAGATTGTTACTTTACTCTTTAAACTCCTCCAAAAATGAAATAGATGCTCAGATTTGAACATAAAATTTCCCTTTTTATTGTTTTTACCTTGTTTAAATCCACTGTTGCTGTTGTTTTTTTGAGAGGAGGAGAACTCAGCATAGTGTTTGAGCTGCTGGTTGAAAGAACAAATTCAACTGTTTTTGTTTCCCCACTGCAAAAGCTCAAATCAAAGAAAGTGTATTAGTCACATTTCTAGTCAAAAATATCTTGTTAGACTTATTATAAGCCACATTACCTGACAAGTCAAGATAAACATCTCATATCAAGATATAAAATAGAACCTGAATGGTTTCTAATAAATAAATAAGATTTAGATTTGACTAGAAATGAGTAGGTCAGGTTGTTTTAGAGAAGTGGAGATTTCCTGAAGAGATCCTGTCCTTTGTGCTGTTCTTTGCATTCTTTATCACAGAAAAGCAGAAATGTTTTAACTTAGCTTGATTTACATAAATAAAAGCCTATTGATAATAAAACAAACTTCTGTCACTAAAATAATTTGTCTCTTTGTGGCCTCGTTGTCCCTCAGGCAGCCATCCAGTCCCAGCTGGATGGTGTTCGTACAGGACTGACCCAGCTGCACTCTGCCCTGATCGACGTCAAAGACATCCAGAACTCTCTGGCTGATGTGAGCAAAGACTGGAGGCAGAGCATCAACACCATCGAGAACCTGAAAGATGTCAAAGATGCTGTAGTTCAACACAGTCAGCTGGCCTCCGCTGTGGAAAACCTGAAGAACATTTTCTCTGGTAAGCTTTGTTAGCTAGTTCTATGTGAAGAAGTGAATAATGATGTGTCCAATCACAGAAAGGTGACATGGTTTAGACAGGTCTGATACAATAAGCTGTCCGTAAAGTTAGACACAGACTCCTCGTGTGAGGGAAACGTTTCTGTCTTTGCTAGATCAGAGCGTTTCTTCTGCCCTCTTTTTCTCTCATTGTTCGGTTCACCTTTGACCTCTGTGTTCAGTACCAGAGATCGTGGCAGACACTCAGCAGCTGATCGAGCAGGCAGAGCTGCTGCAGGCCCACAGGAAGCTGATCGAGCTGGAGTGTTCACGGGACGACCTCATGTATGAACAGTACCGCATGGACAGCAAGAACACCAGTGACATGAATCTCATATCCATCTATTTTGAAGACGTAAGTTTAACTCTGAGAGCAGCAGGTGGTCGGTTTGTATCGAGATAAATGTGCTCATTATTAGCTGTGTTTTGTTTGTTTGCACACTCAGCTGCATCCTCTTGTTTCAGGAATATTTTAATACTATGTGATCAATCCAATCTATGTGAAAAAGTCCACATGTCATACAGTGAGTCAGCTGTTTGTATATATTCTATGAATGTGTTGTTATATTGCTCACCCCTCTGGCAGGACAGTAGAGTTGTTTTCTGTCTTTCAGTTGTCTCTCCTCACCTTCCCCCTCCAGGTTCAGGGCTTGTCAGATGAGCTGGCCAAACAGCTGTGGATGGTGCTGCAGCGGTCCATGGTCACGGTCCGTAGTGACCCCACCATGCTGGTGTCTGTGGTTCGTATCATTGAGCGGGAGGAGAAGATCGATCGACGCATGGTTGACCGTAAGAAACAGTCCGGGTTCATTCCACCAGGACGACCCAAACGCTGGAAGGACAAGATGTTCGAGGTGAGACATCTCCCGTTTCTTTATAGACTCATCGGTTGTCACAATAACTGTGTTAGCAACTCGCCAACTGAGGCAGCATGCTAACTATATAGCAGCTTAGATAGTTGGATTAAAAAACATCAGACAGCTGCTGAAGAAGGGACTTTGATCAGACGATCTTCACATTTTTAGATTTGACACATTTAGACATCTTTTACAAAAAGATCCTGATCACATGAAGGAGAAATAAAGAAGAACTCAACCAATCAGCCACATATTTGTGATGGAAGAGCTCAGTTGGTAGAGTCGTCGCCTCTCAATCGGAAGGTCGAGGGTTCGATCCCCATCTGAGCAACATGTCTGATGTGTCCTTGGGCAAGACACTTAACCCCGCATTGCTCCCACTGCTTCTTCAGTGGTGGTGTATGAATGGATTAGTGTTGTACTTACTCTCTGGTGTCGCTTTGGATAAAAGTGTCTGCTAAGTGAATTGTAGAAGTGCTTCATAGTTTAACACATTCTCAAAAGTTTTGAGTTCCTTTTTTTCTTTTGTTTTCAACAGTAGGAGGGACTTCTTTTCATCCCATTCTTCCTCCAGTTTTTTTTTACTTTCATCACACTCATGCTTCAAAAATAATGAGACCACTCTCGTCTTTTGGGTTCGAGCCATTTGGGTGGTGGGACTCTCACTTTAATCTTTTGGTTATTTTAATTCTAGATGATGGGGGGATTGAAGGTGGCTGGTTTTGAGATCCTCGTGTTAATGAATGTGATTCAACGAGGGATGCACAGATGTCTCAGTTAGAACATCGTTTGGTTTCTTCCCTGTTGACCAACATCGGCCTGTTGGCTAATAATGTGGCCTGCACCGATGTCAGTAGCTGATGTGCATCAGTTTCATGTTTGTGAGCTGAACTGCTGCCTCAGAGAAGAGGCTCTCATTGGGCTGAGGACGCCACCTGTTAGACAAACTCTGATTAGTTTTCATTGTCAAACCTGAAATAGTGTGCAAGTCTTACAGGCGTCTATGACAGAAGTTCAGCGACATGCAGTTTGTCAGAAATGCTCCTTAAACATTTCAAGACGAGGGACTTATAGCAACAACTCTGATAAATCAAATCTCATCACTCATTGAAAAAACACAAAGAAAAAGAAGTAATGAAAAAAAAAACATCTGTGTCGGAATCTGTAATCAGCGATCAGAATGATTCAGTCTTCAGATGTGATGTTGACGTTTTACCCGCCGTCACTGCACTAAAAGGTGTTTCTTTGGCCAACTGTACAGACTCTGCCCCCTGAACTTTGATCTGTTTGTGTTTCAGGTGCTGGAGGGTACAGTCAGCACCCGGATCGAGGGCACCCAGTCAGTGACGAGGGAGAATGATAAAATGTGGCTGGTTCGTCTGCTGGAGATAACCAGGAAGTACGTTCTGGACGATCTCACTGTTGTGAAGAACCTCATGGTGCAGTGTTTCCCTCCTCACTACAACACCTTCAACAGGTAACACGCACACAATGAACATGCCTCTTCTTGTTGTCAAGCACGCAGCGGCAGCTTCCAAATATTCAGCTGTCAGCTTGATCACGTTCAGTAAGTGTGCTTGCTCATGTGTGTGTTTGTGTGTGTTGCAGGTTTTTCTGTCTGTACCACAACACCGTGTCCACTCGTGTGACAGAACTGGCCTCTGAGGACCTGGAGGCTAACGAAATCGTGTCTCTGCTGACCTGGGTCCTAAACACATACAAGAGGTGCACACACACACATACACACTTTCACACACTCTGTCTTGGCACACTGTGTTTCCTGTTTAGTGTTTCCCATAGAATGACACTTTACCTGGGGCAGTGTGTGTGAGGAGGTGGGGGGGGGGGGTCATACCCTGGGTTTGTTTATGATTGGCTGACTATACAATGACTCGTGACAAATTATGAATATTTGTATGTTGTGTCTCATTTTGCCGGTCAAATGTAACGACTCTGTTAGGAGACAAAACAGGCACAGTGATGCTATCTAAGGCAGATAAAAATGTGTGTAGGCTGTGTCTGGTTAAACTGGCATATCATTATTAATAGAGCCTCAGCGTACAGACACACAGAGAGGCAGAGTCGACACACACAGACCGATATCCTTCTGATGCTTGTTTATTGATTTGAAACGGAGAAAGAGCGAGCAGCAGCTTCTTAATCCAAACTATTTAATTAGACTCAACAGAAAAAGAAGCAGGCTTTAATTAAGCTACTAGTCCGCTTTGTAGTGCTTCTGGAAAGTCATGCATTAAAAATAAGACGGACTTACATAAATACCGATAAGGGTACTGTTTGCCCGTGAGCTTAACAGTTCTCCAATCACATGACGGTGCCAAAAAGCACCCACTCCTAGTCTTCATGACATTTTGTTACATCGTTTATCAGCTGATCACTCTGAAAACATTTAGTTTTTCTTCTTTCTGTTTTCTCAATAGAAAAAACAAAGGGAAACCACAAAAGATGAACTCTGTGTTAATGTGTGTGTTTCAGTACCGAGATGATGGGCCATCCAGAGCTCCTTTCAGAGTGCGACATCAACCAGCTGGAGCCGCTGCTGCCTCAGGATGTGGTGGACGACCTGCTCAGCAAATACGTCAGGACGTTTACAGTGAGCGTTGCTTAAAACTTAAATAAATGTGTTTGTCTTTTTTGATTCAGACTTCATGGAGTTCAGGTAAGAAGTGTTAGAATGCAAGAGGAGACAATCCTTTCCTGTGTTGCTCCTCCTGATGAGTGAGGATGGGGGTCATATTGATCCTTAAATCAGGAAATGTTTAAGTCCACAATGGAGAGACCCTGCGGAAAGGGTCATGAAACCCCTGTCTTTAAGAAAACCATCCCGAGGCAAACTGATGAGATGATTGTACGCCTCATTGATGCAGCCAAAGCAGCATATTCTCATCTTTCACTGCCAAGTGGGAAAATGATCTCAATTATTTAAACTTCTTAATAATAGCTTCAATCTTTAGGAGCTAAATGAAAAATGTTACTAATAGAAGTTTTAAGGTACATTTACTTTAAGTTTGAGCATCATTTATTTGATCGTTAGATACTTGAGGGTTGTAATACAAACTGACAGAGGGACAGAATCTCTTACATCGGGATTTAAGTTGTGTGCTGCCCCCTAGAGGCTCCAGTCATCTTTTTTATAGAGTAAACAGACACAGGTCAGCTGTGTCCACAGGTGTACACACCTGAAATGGTGTATCACCCTTTGAAAGACACAGCCTTCGTAGCCCATGAAGATCGCTCAGGTTGAACTGAAATGAGACAGTGTGATCTACGAAGGATGCCATGTCCCTGTCACCCACTGTCCCCGCCCCTTTACCCCTTTGTTTCTAAGTGCCGCCCCATGTTGCCTAGCAACCTCAACAGCTGCACTGGAACTATCAAATGTAACAAACGTCACATGACCCATCATTTTAAAGACAATTTAATAACATTTGTCTTTGTAGCTTTTTAACAGAGGTTAAACCAATGACCCGGTTCTTGCATTTAAAAGTGTATTAGTCTGAGTTGGTGTGCAGTGATTTAAAGTAAATGTTGGGAAGGATGCATTTCTTCGCTGCATTTGAAGGAGCCCTCAAAATGGGACAGCTTCTGATGTAATCAGTCTTCAAAAGCACCCTCTGAAGGATGCAGCTTCTAAATTGGGACACAGCCCTCGTCTCAGTGAACCTTTCCTTCCACCAGCTTTTAAGTATCCAATACAAAACTGGATAAGGCAGTTTCCACAGTGTCGTAATGAATACAGGTGAGGTGACAGTGGCGCACAAAGACATGTTCTAAGTGTGTGTGTGACTGTGTGTGTTTCAGTCTAACATAACAGGCTGGCTGCGGAAAGCTCTGGAGACGGACAAGAAGGACTGGCAGAAAGAAACAGAACCTGAGGCTGACCAAGACGGATACTACCAGACCACCCTGCCTGCCATCGTCTTTCAAGTAATACACACACACACACACACACACACACACACACACACACACACACACACACACACACACACACACACACACACACACACACACACACACACACACACACACACACACACACACACACACTACAACTACACAAGCTTAGTGTCTTGACCCTGAATGGACTTTAGCAGATGCAGCAAATGATTGGAAAGCTTTTCAGAGGAATAAAGGTTTTAGATTGAGGAGTTATGTTCTTTTGCGTCGCTGCACTCACAGCCCTGTCAGTTCAACTTTTTAATCAGCGCCATGCTCATTCGTGTCACCTCTTCCTCACGGACCGATCAAACTCAGGAAGGGGCGGGACTTCCTGTCAGCAATGTTCTCCCAGCCTTTTCCGCACATGGTTGACAAACCTCAGGGTTATCGATACATTATTAATGATCTATTGTGGGTTCAGCTCGTTTACTGTACATGAAGATGAAAGGTCTCCACCTTTACAAAATAAGTAAAGCCTAAATAACCCCCTCGACAGACACTGACATATTGATGATCACAGACCTCATTTTGATCTCAGTATCTTTGTACTCCTCATTTTAATCTCAGTATTTTTGTACTCCTCATTTTAATCTTGACATCTTTGTACTCCTCATTTTAATTTCAGTATCTTTGTACTCCTCATTTTAATCTCAGTATGTTTGCACTCCTCCCCAGATGTTTGAGCAGAACCTGCAGGTGGCTGCGCAGATCAACAGGGATTTCAAGGAGCAGGTCCTGAGGCTCTGCCTGAAGCAGATGGTCTCTTTCCTGATCAGGTATATTTTACAAACTAACCAAGGTGTTGTTGCAGACACGACGTTTAAACTTGATTCGACCAATCAGTGAGCTGCGGTTTCTTAATGCAGTGTTTGTTCCAGCGTTTCCTCTCGTGCCTAAATGTCTCTGAACAAACTAACAGCTGAAATGAACATCTGTCAGCTGATGTTGATCCACAAAGAGAAACTCAAATGTTTGTAAAATACGACAAGGCGTTACGATGACACTTCCAAAGCTAGTGTCAAATAACCACAGTGATATCTAGTGGTGAAATCTTCAACCGGAACAAAAGGTCATTTAACGGTGCTCTGTCATTGGACGGATGAAATCATAACTGTTTCCTAAGAGATGTAATTTATAGCAGAGAGCGTGTTGCTGACACCAAACAGCTGCTAAGACCCTCTGTCCTCCTCATCCTACCCCACCTCTCAAAACCATCACCATGACAACCGTGTTTTGCAGAGGACTTCACACCTACTAGAAGCCAGGTGTTAAGATTTAAGGTGTAACTTCTGCCTACGTTACACCTTAAATATTTGTGGAGAGTAGACTCCGTCATAAATTAAAAGTTACATTCAAACTAGGCCGCATTTGAAAATTGAACACAGCTCCTGCAACCCAGGGTTGGCCTTTTTTTATGTAGTTACAGGAAGAAATCTATTCTTCTAATATATTTAAAGACACTGTGTTAGTAAATACTCAAACCAGGGTCACTTCAGTAATAAGGTGTTCTTTAATCTTCCGTTGTGATAAACACAAATCCAGAGAGAAAAGTTCTGCAATGATACTCTCACTGCTGTGTCAACCCTAACTGATGTGTGTGTGTGTGTTGTTGTTGTTGTTGTTGTTGTTGTTGTTGTTGTTGTGTGCAGGTACAGGGAGGAGGCGGTGGTGTACAAAGAGGAGCACCTGAGAGACAGACAGCTGCCTCAGTGTTACGTTCAGTACATGATCGCCATCATTAACAACTGCCAGACATTCAAGTAAGAATCTGATACACAGACCAGTGTTCACTCAATCATTGTTTCTTTTTCATAATGACATGTACATTTCTCATTTAGACAGATGCACAGTCCATTTATCATTTACTGATCTTCTATTTAACCTTCTTTTCCAGCCAGCAAGTGTGAAACATTCAGAGAGTCTAAATCTCAGACCTTTCAGCCTTCTTGCCAGAAATCAGATGAAAGTGTTGACTTGACGGAAAATAGCTTTAAATATGTTGAAGAAGTTCTTCTTCTAGCTGGTGGTCTTGTTTGCTTTAAAAGGATCAGTATGTTTGGGACCCTTTCCTAACTAGTCAAGAACTCCTCAAAGTAGATCAAAAGAAAAAAACTGACCTGGAAATGATCATGTGATGTGAACAAACATTTCAACTGTGATGTAAACTAAGAACTAACAACAATTATTAAGCCTAAAGTCATCATCCATGTCAGTGGTGAGATGGGAGTGGAAAACCACGCCGTGTCAGCCTCTACTATCTCTACATCTGTTTTTATTTTTTTATTTTGTGCTTTATTGATTGAAATAGTTTCGGGGTCGTTCATTTTAAATACATGACAGTTGTTGACTGTGTTCCTCAGAGAGTCCATCAACAGTCTGAAGAGGAAGTACTCGTCGGAGTCCACCGACAGTGACGCCGCCATAGAGAGGACCCTCAATGAGGTGGCCAAGGAGGGATGTCAGTTCCTATTGGATGAAGTCTTCCTAGATCTTGAAGTAAGAGGGGCTCCTATTGGACGAAGCTTTACTCTGTCTAACAAGTCAAAATCTTAAGAAGGTCGTTGTATGTGCACAACTATTAACAAGGTGTTTTTACTCATGTGTATCAAATGATGTGAAATGAGATTTAACTGAGTGTGTTTCCCTTTATTCACACGCTCAGTGGAGATGCACCGATCTAACTGTTCCAGTGCTGATAACGATTCCAGTAGCTGGACTTTGTGTATCTGACGACTACGCGTACCGATTCGATCAATCTGTAACTTTTCAGCCTTACAATAGAAGCTTCAAAGGGATTTAAGAGTAAAATCACTTTCAGCAGACAGAATGGTGTCTCTCATGTTCACAGTGCGGCCCGGTCGCCTGCTTTTAGCAATGTGGAACTTTAGCAGCAAGCCGCGGTCATCTCCCGAGAAGTGTGTGTGTGTGCGTGCAATGGGGGACGATGTGAGAGCGGCCGAGGAAGTTAAAGACAATATCTAGATTTTATTTTTTTTTAAATCCTCCCACACCTCAAATAGGATTGATTGTTCAAATCCATTTATCACTCACCTGAAGCAGCTGAAGCAGGGCCCCGTTTGGAGATAGCAGACTATCTCTTTGATCCATGTTTTCATAAATCACATCCCTCGTGTGTTACTTAAAGACAGTATGTCAACATTTGAGTCCCAGTGAACTGATGAGAAATGGAGCACTGATTCGTCCATGTTGATTTTGCATGAAACAGCATCACCTGAATGAACTGATGACCAGGAAGTGGCTGACAGGGTCACATGCTGTTGACACCATCTGTGTGACAGTGGAGGACTACTTCAATGACTTCAACAAGATCAAGAGACCCTACAATCAGGTACACATGAGAACGTTCAGTAAATGTCTAATGATATCGTTACCACGGCAACAAAGACAGACGTCCTAGACAGACCAACATGGAAGTCATTTCTTGTTTTTAATGATTAAACGTTACTGACAAACTCCTGCACACTGTCTACATTGCACAAATATGTTGGCAACATTGTTGTTCTCCGTTTGTCTCTCGAGGCAGCTCTCAGTTTAAAATGTGACTGAAGATCTGTAGTCTTTTTTGTGTGGCACATCTCGATTCTATAGACGATTCAAATAACAGGAGCGTTACAGAGCAGGTTGTCTCTGTCATATCTTTATGGATTCTTATGTCACTTTATAGTGATTTAACTCATTTAATCATTCTAAATAGAAGAGTCTAAATAACCTGTTTAAGATTCATTTCACTTGCTGTGAGTTCAAACTCCATTTTAAGATCTTGGGCTTCACTATACCCGACTATGTCAGTGATTTTACAAAGATTTTCCATCATTAAACTTAAGACAAAGATTAATGATGGACATTAAATTGAATTCCATTGAAGAAAAGAAAAATAAGAAGATGCATGCACATTTGCTCCAATGCGACAACAAAGTCCTTATCCAATCACGATGTTTGGACATTGAAATCCCTGTATCTCTACTGACTGACTTTGACCAGTTCTACACTTGACAGCTAGGATCCTGTGAGTGTTTTAATAGTGCATAAACTATGACTGTCTGAAACGCTGCGTGTGATGTGTGCAGGAGATGACGAGCGAGGCTCTGCGCAGGGTTGTGGTGGAGTACATCAAAGCAGTGATGCAGAAGAGGATCACCTTTAAGAACGCTGATGAGAGGAGAGAGGGAGCTGAGAGGATGATCAAAGAGGCCGATCAGTTCAAGTTCCTCTTCAGGAAACTGGCTGCTGTAAGTCCTCAGATAATGTGTCACTTTTTCCTGCAGGGATGTCTGTGTAAAGTCGAGGTGAGCAGTTGTGTGAAAGCTTCAGGAAATATTCAGGTAGATTAACAGCAAGCAAGCAGGAGGGAGAGATAATGTTTGTATCCTGTGACAACGAGGAGGTAACTTTCATGAGGATGTTCTTCAACCTTCTGAGCAGCGGTCAGGTCTGCCACATGGATTTTTGCTGTTTTTTTGGGTTTTTTTTAAGGTTGTTGCCGATGATCTTAATTTAGAAGATGTACAACATGACCCATTGATACATTTCTCTAAGTAGCATTGGTAGGGTACTTAGAACCTCCTCCAGATAACCAAAAAACTACCATGAACTCCCGTACATGTTAAAAAGGGCCCCATTAATGTCTGATACCAGATATAATGTGCTGTCTGACAAAATGTAAAATGTTCATGTTTTTTTTTAACAGTTACACACCTCCGATTTGCATCCAGGTTTAGAAATAAGGGCCGTCATTAACTACTTAATTTCAGTTCATTAAGGTCTGAGATTCGTGCATTGTTTTTTTTTTTTCATCAGATGTTCTTTTGTCCCTCTAGGCGCACCGTAGATAAGCCTCCTCAGTGTCTCCCTGTTGTCATGTCAATGATGTAACAGAACGACGCTGCTTTGCATCTCATCTCACTTTAACAAACTCTCAGACAGCTCAGCGGAGTCCAAATTCATATCCACTTCATGACATCACACATTTATCTTTGTTACCTTTGCGCTGTTTGACTTCAGCTTTTGATCCATAACAAGTTTCTGTTCTGTTGTTAAGTTAATGTCGTAACCTTTGAGATAACAGAAGGGCCTTACTTTATTTCAAAATAAAAGCTTGCTTGAATTCAAACAGCAAGTTAAGTACCCTCAGGTAAAGACAGTTTAAACATTCAAGATAAAAGTCTTAACAATTTTCAGTTTTCACATGCCAAATAATGGAATTTCAAACATGCGATTAAAATTTTATTTTATAGTGATTAACTATTGAAGTTTAGCGATTAATCATAAATTCAAATTGTAATTGTTTGACAGTCGTACTAGAAATGTTTTCAAACATGCACAAGACTTTTAAATTTACTGACATTTTTGGGGTTATGCAGAGTTTTCCAGCCGGCCACCTTGTAAAATATCCGCATGGAGCCAGGGTGAGCTGATGTGGGAACACAGCAGGTAGTATTATATCACACTTTCATTGCTCGATGGTTCCATCTTCGTGCACATAATGAAGCTGTTTTAAACTCTTCTCTGCTCGCCAGTGCGTCCTTTTCTTTTTTTTGTTGATACTGTGAACTCGTCCAATCACACGTAGCACTGATGTAAAGACACAAACGGTCATCGCTGTTGAGTTTGAAAAAAACTGTCAACAAGTAGCAAACCTATCAGGAGAGTTTTTACTACGCAGCAGTCAGCCTGAACACATCCAGTGAACACGCTGCCAACAGTTTGAAGTGTAGTCAGAGAAAGAGAGGACATGTCTCACAGTTGTTGATTCTTATGTTCAGGGTGAAGACACAGACTCGCTCTGTGGGGCCATCGCTGCCATCGCTGAAGTGTTCAAGCTGACCGACCCCACTCTGCTGTTCTTAGAGGTCACCACCCTGGGGACCAAATATCCCGACATCAGGTAAACATAGCCACACACACTTTGACACGCAGCATCACAACACGTTAACTGTTCATCTTGAATTCTCTCTGGCAGCTTTTGGTTCAAATATGACTGAAGAGCTGAAATGTTTTTTTTCTGCTTTGCTACGTATCAAAGTATCAGAATGTTTTGATAACATCGACTTGAAGGCGTGTTGATAGAAATTCCGCTCCCTGGCAGCCTACACCTATAGCAGCATGCCAAAGCCAGCACTTATGATGAACTGTACCGAAACGCTTCACCAAGGCTTTTTGTCCCTCCTGCTTCCCGTAGGGAGGAGCACATCCAGGCGTTACTGGCAGTGCGTGGGGACGCCAGCAGGGAAATGCGGCAGATGATCGTGGGGACTCTCAGCGAGAACAAAGTTTCTTCTTCTATTGTGACACAGCCCATCTTTAAAGACATCACCGTGCCAACCATGACCATGACGACCATGACCTCCATGGCAACTGCAAAGCTGCTGAAGTAAAGCCGATTCACTAGACACTATTTCACCTTCAGCACCTCGAGCACCTTCAGGCACGATAACAGGAGCAAACTCGTTTTTTGATTGCCTAATGCATCATGTTTTTTGATTTTACTGTTCATAACCATGATTTAGTTTTTTTTCATTGTCATCCTGATCATGTCTGCTTTAACAAAATAATAAAATGAGATATGAATAAATTACCTGTGGTGTGACTGCTTATTTAAGCATCACAGCACATGTCTGTTAAATCCCTTCCTTCTCTTTCTCCATCAACGTTCCTGTCAAAAAGTGGTTTCTCTCTGCTGATTTGATCCTCTACATGTGTAAGTAGTGTTTTTATCATATAATCTGATCCTGTCATTTTTAAGCAAAATATCGCTCACTGTGAATTTCATATTCCTGTGACTTCTCAATATCTCAACTATTAACCTCTCTTTAACAATGCTGGTTTTCCCGTGATAACGAGAAAACAACCACCGAAATGTATACTCGGAATCACACATTCAAATGTATGTACAGATATGTTCAGTATTTTATCATCTACTGAAGTACAGAATAAAAAATAATAATAAAACAACTGTACAATAAATATTAAATAACATAAAAACTAACAAGAAAGAAATAAAAAAACAGAAAGGGTCTGCTAATTGGGATGATAAAAATTAAGTAGAATTGTTTTTGCCAATGTCTTATTTATGAGATTTTTAAGAGTTTAAAAAGACGCGACATCCAGTAGGCTAACAGAAATGAGCGTCCATACTAACCATAGACCATATAGATACTAACCATAGTATTATTACTAACACACCGAGGTCGGAAATGGGGACTATATCTATGCATACTGCTTATGTAAATACTGTAAAAACTCTACCTTATGTATATTAATCATCTGTTACATAATAGCATATATCTCATCTCTGCACTACTCAAAACAAATCTTATTTAGCCTTGTATATATTAGTCCGTTTTGCTTATATTATGTCTATATTTAATGTTATTCTACATTGAGAGCACAGTTACAGAAGACAAATTATTTGTGTGTGTTTAAGCATACATGGTCATTAAAGCTGATTCTGATTCTGAGTTGCGGGTGTGTGCCGGGTGCGTCCAGCTGGTGGCGCTAATGTACATCTTCACTTGTAGTAACTGCCAATAAACACAAAGTGGATGAAACGAAGAAGTCGGAAACCGGAAGTTGCGTCCGAGCGGAGAACCTGCAGTTTGCAGAACATGAATAAATCTATGGAAATCACCTGTTTAGCTCCTATCAAGGCTTAAATAACACATTGTGTACCTGTTCTACCTTCCCGCCGACTTCCCCGACAACTGGACTTGCTTTGGGTAAGAGTGTTTGACGTGAAAGCTAATGTGTCTAATGATGTGTTTACTGAGCTCTAACCAGCTTACGGCAGGATGCTAAAGGTGAGCAGCTAACAGCGGCTACCCACACAAACAAATCTCTTTGAGCATCACAGCCTTTATTACACACTGCTAGAAATAAATGAATTCAAATGAGTTATCCAATGCTATGTTATTTAGGTATTATGTAGGTGTTAGCTAGAAAGGACATTTATACCTGATATTAAAACGTTCAGTGTTGGTTATCTAAGTATTGATGCTGTATGCCCGGTGTTTCGTTTTAAACAGTGACCGTGCTAACTGATGACGTTTAGCCGAATGCGTCTGTTGTTGTCCTACACGTTACAATGGATGTTGAATCCCTCTTTGTTTGTTCTGCATTGTAATGGAAGGAATACTGAATCAAATCTGTGCAGTAAAATAACACCAAGAGGAATTCACCAGGACACTCTACGTTTACAACATCTGTTGTATCTATGACAACACCTGACGCATTCGGCTCAAAGTCACCAGATAACACGGTCACTCGTTATCAATAAAGACCTGTTTCAATACCGCAGATCAAAAGTTGAAGTCCTATAGACAACACATAAATGTCTTCTGTTTAATTTGCACACAATGCAAGCAGTCACGTGCACTGTCTTAATTGCACATTTAATTCTAAACCTTTATTTAGGCCTCACACCATTGTGGTTTCCCTCATTTTCAATTTAAAGAAAAATCACAATTAAAACATGCTGGATTTATATTTAAGAAAAATTGTGATTGAAGATGTAGGGTTTTTATTTATCTGGAATAATTTCTAAAAAAAAAAAAAAACGTTTTCAGCAGATCAGCTGATAATTCCTCCTTGTCTACTGTCCATCCTTCCTCCTCTCTGGTCAAGACCCCCGCAGACGAGGTCAGAGTACCAGCAGCTCTGATAAAGACCTTTGTACGACTCGATACAAAAGAGCCTTTGTTAAATACAGAAGCATTACTCTGAGGCAATCTCATAGGAGAAAATCACTCTGTAGTTGAGCTGCTCACACTCAGTGGGAATAAACCATCTGTGATGAGATGGCATGAGCAGACATCTTTGAGCAAAGAAGGTCACACAAGCTTTAAATGTTGTTTTATGTGAACTTGTATTATTTATAACGTGTTATTCACAAAGCTTCCTAAGTACAAAGAGTCACTACTGCTGATGTAATTCTAAGAAAGCAGCAAAAAAGGAGCAAACTCAACCGTAGGACTGCGAATCTTTGGGTGTCTCACGATTGGATTTTTGAATTAGGATCTACTTCAATTATCTGTGAGACTGGCTGAATTTCTTGTTGCTCTCTTTGGCATTCTACTGAGTTAAAGAGCTAGCCTTAGCACTTAGCAGGGAGTGACTGATAAGCCAAAAAATAAATAAATCGATTTTTGGAACTTATGAATCTATTTAAAATCTCAGAAGATAAGAATCTCCAGTTTTACATAAATCGTTTTTTTCCCCACACCTCTACTCAACCGTAACACAATTGTTCAGGTGTACGATCAGATGTTTGGTCTGAAGGCCTTGGTACTGAATTGCCTTTAACATATTTGAACAATTTCCACAGTATGCCAGAGTTTGCCTGCATTTTTGTTGGAAATTAAAACCAAGAAACAACTAGAGCCCGGCCGATTGATCGGGCGGCCAATAGGTCGATATCTGCATATCAAGTGATTATCGGTTAATTTTATTACAGATATGCACCGATATTACAAGATTTATTCACCAGCCGAATATCATTTCATTTGAGTATCATCATATTACACTAGCAGTTCTCTGTCACCAGCAGAGGGCGCTATATGGATAGCAACAAACATTATCACTCTCTGTGACGCAATTACATGAGTTACTTTCCAGCTAAGTGACCATCTTGTCTTCATGTTTAATCTTTTCCACAAGTGTTTGATAACTGCATTTGAGGAATCAACACAATAAATGTGTACATTTATATCAATCCATCTCTACAGATTAAAGATAGAACCAGGAACGCTATCGGCCGATATATAGGAATCGGAATTAAGATCGATATCAGTAAATAAAATCGTTCGGGCACTAAAATGACCCAGTATTTGTTGCTGTGATATCACAACAGGTATATAGTTTAATAACTAGTATGATACCTACGTTTAAAAATCTGCTATCATGACAACTCTAATCCAGGATGTAATCAATCTAACATGGGGCGGCAGCAGCTCACTCTGTAGGGACTTGGGTTAGGAATCGGAGGGTCGCCGATTCAAGTCCAGAAGTTGGTCTGGTAGCTGGAGAGGTGCCAGTCCACTTCCTGAGCACTGCTGAGGTGCCCTTGAGCAAGGCACCAAACCCCAAAACTGCTCTGGAGCGCTTGCTGCCCCCTCACTCTGAGACCTCTCCATTAATGCATGTCCATAGGATCCTGTTTGTGGATGTGTGTGTATTTTGGCCTATGTTTATGTAGCATGTTCATTAAACAGAGTGTAAAACTGAATTTCCCCTCGTGGGATTAATGAAGGATAAATTATACGGTTCATTACAGACAGAAAAATAAGAACACTAAAAATATCTTACCACGAAAATCGATTTCTCTGTGACATGCAGAAACAAATCTGATATGATCAATCACTCTCCTGCTAGCTGTGTCGGATGTTTAGGTCATGCTCTGTCTCTCTTTGTATCCACAGTACATGTAATGAGTGTATCAGTATAGTTTGTTTACAGTGAGGGAGGCGGGGCTTAGTGAATGTTCGCTCCTCACCTGCTAACTCAACTAGTAGAATGTAAAGAAGCCTTTGACAGGTCTTTGTTTGGACCCTGAGTCCTGCTGATGTGTGTGTTACACGACTGATCAGATGTTTTTTTGTTGTTTTTGTTTTTCAGGTTGATCCGGCTCCCTGAAGTTTCTCCCTCCCCCCCATCATGATGGACTACTACCAGGTGTTAGGTGTCAGGAGAGACGTGTCTGCAGAGGAAATCAAAAAAGCGTGAGTTTGTTTACATTTTCAAATGTGACATCGCAGCAGTGATTCAATGAATGAATCAGACATCGCAGCAGTGCCGATCAGAATGATTAATCTGCAGTTTGTTAAGAAAGTGTGTGACAGCAACACAATGTCAAGTTCAAGCATGAGAGTGAGGTAGTGTTGTAGTCAAGACCAACCTAACCGAGACCCCAGACATACCCGAGACCACAGTGCTCAAGACCAAGACATTAAGAGATCGAGACCGAGTCAAGACCAAGACTAAGGCAGGGCGAGACCGAGACAAGACTAAGATCATAATTATCACTGAAAAATCCTCAGCTTGTGTGCAGCGTGTCACTCTCGTAGACCGTAACACTGGGAAGGTTGCAGCTGTGACCGGGGGATAAAAATCAAGTTATTTGTTCCTTTTAGAAAGAGGCGCTTTCCTACTCACAGTAAGGACTTGAAAATAGCCGATCTGTGGTGGTCTTGGCCAGATTTAAATCCTGATGCCGCCCAGGCTGAGACCGAGACAAGACCAAGTAAAAAAAATGCTTTAGATTCCAAGATTCCTAACTTCAAAAGGTGGTCTGGAGACTTTGAGTACTACAACAGTAGAGTGAAAACAGTGTCACTCACCTTCAGTGTTAACAATTTGAATCCTCACATGCACACTGCGAGGAGTGTTTGGACCAAAAGCTCATCAAAAAGTTTGCATCCTGTAATTCCATATGACGTCACTCAAAGACTCAAATAACAGGGGGATGGTCACAGGATGACCCCAGTCACACCAAATTGCAGATTTTTCAAGGCTGCACAGTGAAAGCCTATCAGAGTTTACATACTTCCCAGCAGACCTCATGTCAGAAGGAATCAGTCTGAT